GGCTTTGCAGACATAATTAGGTAAGGATCTCGAGAGGAGGTCACTCTGGATGACCTGCTGGGCCCTAGGGCCAGTGACCGGCGCCCTTAGAAGAAGAGGGGAGACATGCAGGGGAGAGGCTGCACTGCTGTCCAGGGATCAGCAACGCTCACCCCTGCAGAGACACTGTCCCGTGCCTGGGGAGGTGGTCCCGGGCCCTGACACCCTAGGTGCCCCTCTCACCTCACCTCCACCTGGGGAGGTGGTCCCAGGGCTCTGAGAGCCTCTAGGCTTCCTTCCCCTGAGAAGCCCCCACCCGTGCTGAGAAAGTGGCCCTGGGCCCCTGAGAGCCCTGGATGCCCTTCTCCCCTGTACCCCACCCCTGCTGGGGATGTGCCCTGGGCCCCCAGAAGCCCACGCAGGCCCCCTTGCTTGGACTCTCTCTCCCGGCCGGAGTGGCCTCTGAACTGCACATCCACCAGGCGGGCTGGCCGTGCACTTGTCTATGGCGGTTCTGGCGGCTCGGAGCTGAAGTTCAAAGTCCAAACCCCTCACTGGGTCCCCCCTCAGGACCCTGCTCCCTACCTCAGGCCTCCATCCCGACACTGCACACACCACAGCAATGCATGCTGTTCCACGTCTGCCTACTCTGTTCCTCTGCCTGGAACACCAGTCCTCCCCCGGCCCCACTCCCATCCTCTGGGCCTCAGTGCTGACACTGCCTTCCCCAGGCCTGGCCTGGGCCTGATGGCGTCCCCACGATGCACTGGGCTCCCCATTCTCCACACATTCCAGAACTGTCTGAATGGAACTGTGTGACCCCTGACCTCAGCCCAAAGGTCATCAGGGCCTGGGCAGTGGGATGGGCCACATCTGGAAGGGCAATCTGCCTGGGGGCCTAAGTCTCCATTTCTCCACTTTCCTGCAACATACTTGTGCCTGAGACTGAGGGACATCAGAACCCTGGAGTTTGAGGGGTGACACGTGGCTACTCAGAGAAAGACTACGTTTCCCAGCCTTCTTTGCAGCAAGTAAGGTCATATGACTAAGCTGTGGCCAATGGGATGTGAGCAGAAGCAATGTGTATTTCCAGGTCCTGTCCTTAAGTGGAAAGGCATGCTCTTCACTTCCCCTTTGCCTTTCCTCCTTTGCCTTTCTGGAGTGTGGAGGTGATGGCCGGAGCTGGAGCAGCCACTTTGGACTGCAAGACAAAAGCCATGTCTTGAGGATGCCACACAACAAAGCAGAAGGAATTTTATCCCTGACAACGTGGGGTCTCAGTCCTTGGATGCTTATATTCAGAGTGTTACATGAAAGACAAATACACTGCTCTCCTGATTAAGCCAATTTTATTGGGGTCCCTTGGTGAAATGTGTTTTATTTTCCCTGACTCTTGGGCTGTTTCCAACGTGGCCACTTGGTCTGTGTAATGTGTTGAAAAGTGTCTCCCAGATGCATATTCCCTGGAACTTCAGAATGTGGCCTATCTGGAAGTAGGGTCTTTGAAGGCCATGTGAAGACACGAAGACAAAGAGGAGACACACGGGCGGACAGCCATCAGATGACAACGGAGGCAGAGACTGGAGCCACGTGGCCACAAGTCAAGGAGCAGCAACGACTGCTGGCACCCCCGGAAGCTGGGAGAAACAAGGAAAAATTCTCCCTCCAGCTTTCGGAGTGATGGCGGCCCTGCAGACACCTTGATTTCGGACTTTTAGCCTCCAGAACTGTGGGAGAACAAATTCCCTGTGTCCTAGGGCACTTGGTCTGCGATATTTTGTTACGCAGCCCTAGGAAACCAACGGAGTTCACCGCATGGAAAATTACAGGTTAAAGACTCCTCTCTTTGGGCCACGGCCCCGGGAAATGAATAACAGCTGCTGGCTGAACTGTCTGGGTCACGTGTAGATGCTCACGGCGGGACCTGCTCAATGGGACCGACTAGAATGAAGCTGCTGCTGCGGCCTGCACCTCCCAGCCCGCCACCACTGCCCCCTGCACCCATCATGGCTCTGCGCGTGGTGACACCCAACATCACAGATGGGGCGCAATGTAATGGACTTGGTAATCCTGCTGCAGAGGCAACCGCCGCCTCCCAGACAGGACTCTTCATTTGTCTCGCAGTGGGGGGGGGGGGGGGGGCGGTCACTGCATGGGGCGTGGACCCCCGGCTCCAGGCTAACTGGCTCCATCAGACCTCGACCCCCCTCAGGGCTACAGGTTGTGCCTCCCCACCTCCCCACCCACTCGTCACGGTGCTGCCGCTGCAGCCAAGCAGCTGACTGGCCGCACCATCGCGGCCTGAGACCAAGGGGGGTCATGTTCTCGGCTTCCTCTGCAGTCTGACAATGGTGCTTTTTTCATTGCCAAAATCACCCAACAGGGGCTGGTGCTCAAGGTGTCACGGCCCGCAGAGCCTGGCGTTGCTGAGCTTTGCAATGGCCTTCTCCCAAGTTCGCTCAAGAAAATTTCTGACTTCACCTCTGTCCCCTCCTCCTGGCCCACACTGCTTAGTCAGGCAGCTCGGTCACTGCACGTGGCTCTCCCCGGCGAGGAGCACCTCCGCTCGGCCACCTCCTTGGTAATGACCAGGATGAGAGGGGGCTGTCGAGGTCCTTTGTGGATATTCAGGATTCTACCCCGACCCTCGTGAGCAAGACGCCGTTTCTTTCTCCTAAGGGTGCCCTTTGGCCAGCCAGCGTGGTCCAAGAGGGGGCCAGGAGATGCAAACTGAACTCTGGTCAGCTACCTGGACTCTCCCGTGGGACCGACATGGCCTAGTTCCCAGGATGACAAACACTGGGTTGAGGACATTGGGCACCCAAGGGTGGGCCATGTGGTTCAAAGTGTGGGGTGTAGTGGGTCTCGGCAAGTTTTATAAAAATGCCCATGTCCCTTTTGCACTTGACCTGTACCAGCTGGGGTCCCATCAGGAGACAGAAGCCACACAGCGATCTGAATGGGGACGTTCACTACAAGAATTATGGACGACGACAGAGGAGCCGAATTATACAAGAATTATGGCCATGCGGAGCAGATACAGGAGTCCCCTCCAGGGCGGAGCTGGAGTCCCCTGCCCCAGGATGAGAACTTGCTGGGAGGGTGCCACTGTGGCTCATGGGACAGCAGAGAAGTCCCTGTGGTGCCGGCAGAACTGGGGAAGTCTGCCCTCTGGAACTTGCTGGAAAACCCCCTTCCAGGAGGCTGGGGAAGCAGCTCACAGGGCAGAGCCTCCCTGGAGACTCAGCCGCAAAACCACAGATGCGCTGGAACCACTGGGATCCGTGTGCAAAACACTCGACAAACAAAACCCCAAAACGAAACCACTACTTTGACCCATAGCCTTGTGCCAAAATTTTAATTTCACTCAAATTGAATCGTTGACCTAAATGTAAAAAGCTAATACTATAAAATTTCCAGAAGAAAACACGCGAGAAGATCTTTGTGACCCTGGTTAGGAAAAGGTTCCTTAGAAATGATACATATGAACTGCACAAACTGTGAAAGTAAAGAACGGACACACTGGACCTCATCAACATGAAGACCTCGCGCCCTGTGGAAGACACTTAAGAAAACGAAAAGACAAGCCACAAGCCTGGGAGGACATATTTGCAAATCACATATTTCTGAATGTACTGGTTTCCATAAGACATAAAGGACTCCCAAAACTCAGTAACAGGGAAACAATACAATACAAAAGAAAAAAAAATGGGTAAAAAATTTGAATAGACACTTTGCCAAGGATGATAATACGGGTGGCAACTAAGCACATGAAGAAAGTGTTCACCATCATTAGTCGTGGGGGATATGCGATGACAACCACAGACACCACTGCACACCCCGTAGAACGGCTAGAATGTAAAAACTGACAATACCGAGTGCTAGCAAGGATGTGGAGCAACCGGAAGTCCCGGCCCCCGCGGTGGACAGCGTCTTCGCAGTGACACCTCCCCGGCCACGCATCCGAGCAGTCCCTCCTCCTTCTGCACCGAGTAAACGGAAAACTCACCTTCACACAGAAACCTGGACGCAAAAGTTTGTGGCACTCTGTTCCCAGTCACCCCAAGCCTGAAACAGCACAACTGTCCTCCAGCGGGGGGCCGGCTGAGCACGCGGGGCATCTGCGCGGGAGTGGCGCTCGCGGCGGGAAGCGGGCACCGGGTTTCCACGTGCTCTGCCGGGGCGCAGGCCACCCCCGAAGGCTGTCCCCTTTTTATTCCATTTCTGCGACCCTCAGACGAGCCAGAGCTTGTCAGAGCCGGGGCTGGGGGACGCTCGAGGAGGGGGCCCGACGTCTTCGGGGTGGGTGCTGTTCTGTGGCCTGGAAGCGGAGGGGCCCGCGGGTGCGTCTGCAAACGCGCCAGAGTCACCGGTCAGGAAGGCGCACGGTGCTGGGCTCCCGAGGCAGACGCCGCCGCTCCAGGCCAGGTGGTCGGTGCGGGACCCCCGCTCGCGGCCTCGCCCCGACAGGGCCCCATCCCTGGGCTCGCTGCCCCTCCCGTCTCCCCCCGCGCGGGGCCTCTGCAGGCTGCCTGGCTCGCCCGCCGCCTCCCTGCGCGGGGGCGCCCGCGACAGCCCCGCGCGTGGCAGCCCCGGTCCCTCAAGGGTGCGGGCAGGGGCGCAAGTGACCCGGGCCTCGGCGTCCTCCCTCTTCGCATCGGCGCGGGGACGCGCAGGGGGAGAGCGGAGAGGGGACGGGGCCACGGGCGCCCCCCAGCCCCGCGGCCCTCCCTCCGCGCCCCCGGCCCCCACCTCCCTCTCTCCCTCCCTCCCTCCCTCCCTCCCTCCCGCGCGCCCCGCCGCGTCCCCTCCCCGTGCAGCCGCGCACCGCCCTCTCCCCGGCCGGCCCGCCCCTCCCTCCCCCGCGCGCCCCGCGGCGTCCCCTCCCGGTGCAGCCGCGCGCCCCCGCCGAGGCCGGCCCGCCCCTCCGTCCCCCGCGCCCCGCAGCGCGCCTCCTCTCCCGGTGCCCGCGCGTCCCCGCCCCGGCCGGCCGTCAGAGGCGCGCGCTCTCGCGCGGACGCGGGCGGGCGGGGGCGCGGAGGGGAGGAGGAGCGGCGGCCGTTGCGGGCCGGCCCGCGGGGCTGAGGCTGAGCAGAGCGGGGCCCGCGCACCGGCCGGGCGCCCACCATGCGGCGGCTGCGGCGCCTGGCGCACCTGGTGCTCTTCTGCCCCTTCTCCAAGGGCCTGCAGGTAGGCGCGCCCCCGGGCCGGCCCGGCCAGGCGCCCACCCCCGCGCGCGGGGCCCGGGCTGCGGCGGGGGCGTGCGCGGCCAGCCGGCGTGGGGTGGGGGGCCGCGGCCGGATTCGGGACCGGAGGGGAAGGAGTGGTGGGGTGCGCGGACCTCGGCGTGGCTGGGGGCTGGGAGGGGGCTGTGGGGGCCGGGGTGGCGGGTGCTGATGGGGCGAGCGGAGGGTCCTGGTGTCGCGGAGGCTGCGCAGTGGCGGTCCCTGCCCCCGGGGCCGAGGAAGGCCTCCCCCCGCCCCTGCGGGCGGGACCCTGCTCCCAGAGGCCCAGAAACCACACCAAGTCCGTTCCTTTTTCCTCTACTTAAAAGATAATGTTTGTTTTTTTGGTGTGGAAAACTTGGGACACATCAAAAGCCCTAAGAAGGACATAGCCTCCCCCGCGTCCTTCTCCAGCCACTGAGCTTAGGGGTGTGTCTTGACCCCACCATGACCTTGGCCAAGTCCCCTTCTGCAGGGGAGGCCCTGGCTGCCTTGGGTGCCAGCTGTCGGAAGCCCTGTCACCTCTGCTTTCCGTGGTCCAAGCCAGGCCCGCATCGGAGTCTCAAATCTTCGGGCCCACCCGATGACCCAGATGCCCTCCAGGATGGCCTTGTCAGAGCAGCCCGCACCTCCCTGGCCTTCCCAGGGCTGTCCTGGGGCCACAGCAGGCGGGTCCCTGCCAGGGTCGTGCCCTTGGCCCTGGGCCTGGTTGGCCTCAGCTGCCCTCCTGGGAGAAGGGTGGGAGCTGGGAAACACGCGGGTTGCGTGTCTGTGGCAGACGCCCTCCCTGCCCGCCGGGGGCCTTGGGCAGCATGGTGGTCTCAGCTCAGCTCTGGGCAAGGTGGGAGCTGAGGGTCCTCCGCCAGGGCAGGAGGCTGGGTGTGCACTGGCCCCCACCTTGTCCTGAGGGAGGGGCCTGGACCAGGCTGCTGTGGGGAGGCCCAGAGCAGGGGGCTCCAGACCCTGGGCGCCGGCCTCCGAGCTCCGCCCAGATGGGCGGGAGAGGGGTTCCAGCAGGTTCCCAGTGGTCTGAGCCCCAACCCACCCCAGTCTTAGTGTTGGGACACTTTGAGCCTCAGTTTCCCCGCCTGTGAGATATCCCCCTGGGTTGGTGGTTCTTGTAGGGCACTGGCCCGTGGGCCGTTGACTGTTGGGCTGTTACTGCCCCAAGTGACCTTCCCCATCCTCCAAGTGGCTCCACCGGGAGGCGGGGGGCCGGGGGAGGAGCAGCTGCAGGGGACCCGCCGATGAGTAAGATCTGCCCTGTCCCAGAGGCCACCCTGCAGTGTGGAGACAGGCCCCCCGGGGTCGGGGCAGGGGAGCGGCATAGGGGTCAAGGACTGCTCCATGAGGAGGTGCCCGCCCAGTGAGGACCTGGGGGTCAGTCAGAGCTGGCTAGTGGGGGACGGTGTGCTGGGACAGGGGCCACCATGCAGAGGCCTGCAGCCTGGAGGCGGTCTGGTGGGGGAGCGGGCAGTGTCTGGGGTGGGCCCCGCAGGCAGGCTCCTGATCCTGCAGTGACTTTGTGAGGCCGGGTCCGCCCCTGCGTCCAGCGCTGGCTGCAGCCTGCCCTCCTCCCACTGTGCCCCAGGACCCCCAGCGCCAGCCTTCAGGGCTCTCTGGGAACTGAAAGCCCATGCAGAGGGAGCTCACCACGGCCTGGGGCATTGTTCCCCACTAGCCGGAAGAAGCCCGACCTTGTCCTGCCACAACAACCCCCAGCTCCCAGCGCCACCCCCCCCCCCCCCACAATGCTGCACTTTCCTGTTGTTCCGTTTGAAGAAATCAGACGGAAACAGGCGCAGTGGCAGGGACGTGGGCCTGAGGCCCAGCCCCTCACCGTGCCCTGGGCCAGTCCCGCTCTTAGTGGCCACTGAGGCTCCGAGCCCGTCCCCAACTCTAGGAGTGCTCCTGCTGCAGCCCCTCCCAGGAGGCCAGCCTGTGGGTGGGTGCAGGGAAGTGGGAGGGGAGGCCCGTGCCCTGTCCTCAGTGCGGAGCCAGTGGCCCCATTTCTTGGGGCCAGTCTCCAGCTAACCGGGACCCGGGACTAACCAGGACGGAGTGCTGCCCGGCCCACAGGTGGCGGGGCGTGTGCCAGCAGTGGCACTGGTGCCTCCTCTTGGAGCAGGCTGGTCTGAAGCCCTGGCCATCCTGCTCTTCTGGTCCCTGGGGCCTGGTCCTTGGCTCTGGGGCTCAGCTGCCTGGTCAGGGACACTGCATGGTAACCCGCCCCCTCAGCTGGCTGCTTGTGGACAGTAGACTGCGAGGCCTGTGCTTTGCCAGGGCAGGGAGTGGGGAGGGGAGGCAGTGCCCCTGGAATCCGGGCTTGGGGGCTGGGTGGGAGACAGCACCCCAGGCCACCTGCTGCAGGGCTCTGAGACCCTCCCACCCTGCGGTTCCACCTGTCAGCTGGGGAAACCTGGCAGAGGGGCAGCCTCCGTGGAGGCAGTTCCCCGCCTGCCCCAGACGCCTGGGCCAGAGCCTCAGGCAGCGGGGCCCGGGGGGCGGGGCTGATTTATTCTTTATTGTGGTAAATTATACATAACATAAAACTCACCATCTTAGCCACTTGAAGTGCACAGTTCAGTGGCATTAAGCGCATTCTCATTGTTGTGCAGCCGTCCCCGGCATCCGTCTCCAGGACTTTCTCATCTTCCCAGACTGAAGCTCTGTCCCCACTGAACACTCACCCCCTCCCCTCCCCAGCCTCGGCACCTCTACCCCACCTCCTGTCTCTGGAGTTGACTCCTCTCGGCCCTCATATGCATGGAGTCCCACAGGACCTGTCCTTTGGTGCCGGGCTTGTTTCACTCCGTGTGGCGTCCTCCAGGCTCATCCAGGTGGCAGCCTATGTCGGGACGTCCTTCCTTCCTCAGGCCGTGTGATCCTCTGTGGTTTGCATAGGCCTTGTTGTGTTTATGCGTTCCCCCACCGATGGACACTTGGGTTGTGTCCCCACTTTGGCTGTTGGGAACGTGCTGCCGTGGGTGCGCGGGGCTGCATGTCCTAAAGGCTCGCAGGGCAGCTGTGCCGCCCGTGTCCTGCCCTCTGCACGAGCGGCCTCCTGGCTCCGTCCACTAGCCCTGGTCTAGCCGGAACTTTCCACCAGTCAGAGGACAACACACATAGGTGGGGATTCTCCAACCTGACCTTGTGTGGAGGTTAAAGGTCATGAAATGAGGGCAAGACAGGAGGGAAATTTGTAAAAAATGCCTTTATTCAGCAAAATAAAGAGCTGCCTACCCTGAACCCCCTGTTATTTTGAAATTTTCGCCTGCCTGTGAGATTTAAAAGTCCGGGAGCCGCCAGTCGTCTGCCCCCACTCTGGAGTGGGCGTGCCGAGGGAGCCTGGAGATGTGCAGGGGGTGACCCAAGGACACCCCTGGGCATCAGGGGCGGGCAGCTGTGGACGCTGGGGCAGGGTGGGGCAGGGTGGGGTGCTGGCTGCTGGAGGGGCCGGCTGGGAAGGCTGGGGTCTGTGAAATGGGGTCCACACACCCCGAATGTGGTGCTTCCTCACGTTCCTCCCTCCCCCCGCAGGGCCGGCTCCCGGGCCTCAGGGTCAAGTACGTCTTCCTGGTCTGGCTGGGGGTCTTTGCGGGCAGCTGGTTGGCGTACGTGCACTACTCGTCCTATGCGGAGCTCTGCCGCGGGCACGTCTGCCAGGTGGTCATCGTAAGTGTCGCCTCGGCTGGGCTCGTGGGCAGGTGTGGGCGGCAGTCCTTGTGCTCCTCCCTGCCCGGTGCCCGCTCCTGGGCTGTGGGCCCCTGGAGGATGTGGCTCTCCATCCTCAGAGGCACCCGCGTAGTGGGTTTTAAGGTGGATCCCATTGCACCGTGCAGAGTTGCCTCTGGCTGGATGTGGAAGAGACTGGGGGTGGCGGGGAGGAAAGGGGGAGGCTGAGGACAGGCCACTGCAGCTGCCCAGGAGGGCATGGGTGGGCAGCTGGGGACAGACAGACAGGGCGCACTCCAGAGATATTTGGGACGGACAAAAGTGTTAGCAGGGAGACTCCGCCGTGGGCGGAGGGCTTGTCGGGGCAGCGAGACCTGGGAGGCAGGAGCTGGGGACTGGCCAGGGGGGTGCAGTGAGCAGACGATCCGAGCGTCCACAGGAGTTTCTGAGCCCCTCACGTGTGTTGGCAGCAGACCCCCAACGTGCAGAGGACTGAGGGGGCCGCTGGGGAGCAGGGGAAGAATAGGCCCCTCCCAAAAAGAAGAAACCGCAGCTTCCATTTTCCCAGGGTGCCCTGGCCTTCCAGCCAGCGGGGGTGTCTCTGGGCTGCTGGGAGCCTTCCTGGAGGTCATTGCCATGCCCAGCTCTCCTGAGGCCTGTCCGCGGGGCTGTGGGGACACCCCCTCCTTTCCAGCCTCGTGGGGGTGTCAGCCATCTCAGGTTCCACAGCTTGTCCAAGGCCACACAACAGGAGGTAGGGGGCAGGACCAGGGGTCACAGATCAGCTGCTCGCAGGCCTGGGGGGCTCGGCTGGGGGCTGCCCATTGAGTTCCCAACACCACCCCATCTGCAGATGGAGACAGGCTGTGATGTGAGGTGACTTGCTCATAGCCTGATGGCCACAGGACACCTCAGGCCGCGGGACCCACTGCCCGCCTCAGCTTCTCCGGAAGCCCCTTCCCCAGCCCTGGTGGGCAGCGTGGCGGGCAGCGGCTGGGGGCTGGCTGGGTGACAGTGTGCGCCAGAGCAGAGCAGCCTGCTGGCCCTGGGTCACCCCTGCCCGCCCACGTTCCCTGGCAGACCAACCCCCGGAGGCCCTGCAGTTCCGCGGGGTTTCGGGGGGTCAGAGAGACGAGGTGGGGGACGGAAGCGTGTGGTTTTTCTGTTTCCCTTGCTCTCCTGATGAGCCACTGTCACTCTCATGGCGCCACAGCACCGATGCCTCCTTCCTGGGCCACACTGCTGAGTCCAGGGCCTCTCTCGGCTCAGTGCTGTTACTGTCCTGGCCCTGTGTCCCGGAGGCCCCACCTCGCTGCCCTCCCTCCTCCCCATGCTTGAGTGGCGCCATGTTCTGCACACTCCTTCCCCTCTCCTGCCTCCAGCCCTGGCTCCACCAAGGGCCTGGGCTCCATGGCAACGCATCTATGGCACCAGGAACTCACTCACACTCGCTCCAGACGGCCACAACCCCCCACCGGAGGGCAGAGCCTGGCTCCATCCCCTCCGGCTTCCCTCGCCTTCTGCTTGGGTCAGCCCAGCCCCCTGGGGTGCCGGGGGCTGCAAGGCCCTGTCCAGAGCTGGGGAGAGGGCTGGGCGGGGCAGGGGGAGGCGGCAGCTATGCCGAGGCTGACCTAATTACTGCTGAAAGCTTCTCCCTGTGCATCTGGCTAATGAGGGGGCCCCCGCAGGCGGGCAGGATGAGCCTGAGGTGACAGACAGCCGTGGTGACACCCCCGTGACACCCCGCGACAGAGGGGCTGGGAGGAGCCTCCCCATCTTTGACCTCCTCACCCGGCTGGCAAGCTCCCTCACAGCAGTGGAAGTGGGTGGCGCCCTGTGGACCCAGCCGTGGCCCTGGGCCTCTGCAAGGCGCACTTGGGGCGGGGGCGGGCCCGCCTCATGTCACGGGCCCTGCTGCTCCTGCTTCAGTCCCCAGGGAAGGGCCAGGCTGGATGAAGACAGAGGTCGAGCCGGGGAGAGCTGGACACCCGCTCAGGAGCAGTTGTGCCGATGAGAAGCTTGGCATCTTTCAGGACGATGGGGACGTGTCGGTGGGGGAGCTGCTGGCTCTGGGAGGAGCTGGTGGCTTTCAGGCCGCAGTGAGCATGAGGCCCCCGAGGGTGCCCAGGCCCCCAGGGTGGCTCAGTGTGGCTGGAGGCTGCCTGCTTACCAGCTGCAGCCGGCTGGGGCCCCTCTGAGAAGTGGCGTGGCCTAAGAACCAGGGGGCAACTGGCAGATGAGATGAGGACCTCAGCCTGCCCACCCAGAAGTGCAACATGCAAGGGTGGGGGAGGGAGGCCCCTCCAGGGGAGGGCTTGGAGCAGGCCAGGGGAGGAACTCCGAGCCCCCGCCGCCCTGTGCCACTTCCTGGCACTTTGTCCTCTCCTCAGTGTGACCAGTACCACAAGGGCATCATCTCGGGCTCCATCTGCCAGGACCTGTGCAACCTGCACAAGGTGGAGTGGAGGACCTGCCTCTCTTCCGTCCCAGGCCAGCAGGTAAGGCCGGCGGGATCGGGCTGGGGTTAGGCCCCGGGGCTCAGATGCTGAGGTGCAAGGCGAGGGACATATCTGCCCGGAGGATCCCTGTGGCCCTGTCCAGGTGTACAGCGGGCTCTGGCAGGGCAAGGAGGTGACCATCAAGTGTGGCATCGAGGAGAGCCTGAACTCCAAGGCTGGGTCGGACTCGGCCCCCCGGCGGGAGCTGGTGCTGTTTGACAAGCCCACGCGGGGCACCTCGATTAAAGAGTTCCGGGAAATGACCCTCGGCTTTCTGAAGGTCAGTCGGCTCTGCAGGGGGCCACGTCGAGCTCACACCCAGGGACGTGCGCAGAGGGCAGGAGGCAGGCTGGGTGGGGGCTGTACGGCAGCCAGGTGCCTGGCTAGCCTCCCCAGCTCCAAGCAGACGCTCACTTGGGGAGCACCCACTAGGCACGGAGGTCCCTGTCCCCAGGGGGGCATCTGCTGGGGAGAGCAGGGAGCTGCGTGTGCATGGGGGAGGTGGGTGCTGCAGGAGTGAGGTGTGAGAAGATGAGAAGTGACCCATCCCACCCAGAGTGCCCTCACCTCTGTGCTGAGGTGCCCACCCCCAGGCTCCCAAGCACTAGTGGAGACACAGGGACACAAAGCCCCCTGGGAGGGAGCAGCTCTGGGAGAGATGCGAGTGGGTGGGTGGGCTTCGAGGAGGTGGCTGGGGGCCTCCCATGTCCCAGGTTCTCCCTCCATCTGTGTGGTCGGAGGCTGGGTCTCAGGAGCACAAGGCTGGCATCCTGCCCACTTAGAAGCACCTGAGGTCGAGGTCGAGCTCTTGCCGGCTCTGAAACGACCCGGTCTCCTTTTCTTCTGGTCCCAAATGTCAGGCGAACCTGGGAGACCTGCCCTCGCTGCCTGCGCTGGTGGGACAGGTCCTGCTCATGGCTGACTTCAACCAGGACAGCAGGGTGTCGCTGGCCGAGGCCAAGTCAATGTGGGCCCTGCTGCAGAGAAACGAGTTTCTACTGCTGCTGTCGCTGCAGGAGAAGGAGCACGCCTCCAGGCTGCTGGGCTACTGCGGGGACCTCTACGTCACCGAGGGCGCCCCACACGGCTCCTGGCATGGGGCCGCGCTCCCGCCCCTGCTGCGCCCGCTGCTGCCCCCCGCCCTGCACAGTGCCCTCCAGCAGTGGCTGGGGCCCGCGTGGCCGTGGCGGGCCAAGATCGCCATCGGCCTGCTGGAGTTCGTGGAGGAGCTCTTCCACGGCTCCTACGGGACCTTCTACATGTGCGAGACCACGCTGGCCAACGTGGGCTACACGGCCAAGTACGACTTCAAGATGGCCGACCTGCAGCAGGTGGCGCCCGAGGCCGCCGTGCGCCGCTTCCTGCAGGGCCGCCACTGTGAGCACAGCTCGGACTGCACGTACGGGCGTGACTGCAGGGCCCCCTGCGACAAGCTCATGCGGCAGTGCAAGGGTGACCTCATCCAGCCCAACCTGGCCAAGGTGTGCGAACTGCTGCGGGACTACCTGCTGCCTGGCGCCCCCGCTGACCTGCACGCAGAGCTGGGCAGGCAGCTGCGCACCTGCACCACGCTGAGCGGGCTGGCCAGCCAGGTGGAGGCGCACCACTCGCTCGTGCTGAGCCACCTCAAGACGCTGCTCTGGAAGAAGATCTCCAACACCAAGTACTCCTGATGGGCGGCCCCAAGGCTCCCACACCAAGTGCGCCACTGCTCTGGCCTGGCCCTCCTGCCCCGCTCCCCCCCACTCACAAGGAGCCACTCTTGCCCTTGGGTCCCCTTCCCTCTTCCCCCTGCCACCCCACAAAGGACAGCACCACAGGAGCTGGGGGCCCTCCCTTGCAACCAGATCTGGGGCAGTCGCATAGGTTCCTTCGCCCGCTCCGCCCCTTCCCTCCCCATGTTTTCCAGGGCAGGAAGGAGGACCTGGAGCCTGACCAAGGGCTAGCTGAGGGTCAGGCCAAGTTGGCTTTTGTTACTTTGAAGAATATATGATTTAAACACACACTTTTCCTGTGAGTACTTGAGTACCCCTCACCCCACTGCGGACCCCTCCATCAGTCACTCAGAAGTGGTGGCTTCTCACCTCCAGTCTGGACAGAAGATGCAGCATGCAGACCCCAGGGGCAGGGGGCCCTTCCTGACTCCCAGACCCACATTCTGGGGGCCGGGGTGACTGACTGGGACAAGGTGGCAGGAATAGGATGCTGGAAGCTTCCTGGCTCCTGAAGTCTCTGATGGCCAGCCCCCAAAGCTGGATTATGGCACGGTTCATGGTGAAGGTTGTGGACCACAAGAAAGAGGGGTTCTGGTAACAAGTGGTGAAGCACGGATTTACCCATTCATGAGAATTTCACCTTCTGCATTAAAAACTTTCTCCTATAACGCTTGGTACACAACAACACAGCCCCAGTCTAGGAATTACTTTTTTAAACGGATTTTAATGAACCACTAGAGGTAAAATGCATGATCTGAGGAAGAGCCCAGCATCTCATTTTCTTTGTCCGGCCCCTCCCCAGCAGAAGCCCAGGAGCCTGAGCCCCTGCCCCACGGCGGGGTGAGGCGCCACCCAGAACACACAGCTTTCTCATGTCCAGGCCCAGTTAATCGGACTGTGAAGAAAATGCAAGCCGAGATACAGTTTATCCAAGACCAATTTACTCTCAAGTTTTGCCTACACACTTTCCTTGAAAATGCATTAAACCACTCCTTCAATCTGTTTCACACCTTTTGTGTAAAACATTTTCCAAAATTTCGACTGTAATACCCGTGTTCTTAGAACTAACTCTTAAACTTCACCCTAAATGCATTAACTTTTTTCCATCTAGATTTCCCCCTTGTGGGGGGAAGAGAATCCACGCACAGTGAAGAACAGTTCAGGGTGCCAGGCTCCGGGCAGTGCAAAGGCCCTGCCTGCGAGATTATTCATCCCCGCACGCCCAAGGGCTGGAGGAGGAGGAGGGCGCCGAGATGTGGGGGCTGGGTAACCCTGTGGCTGAGTCTGCTCGCCCGTTGCCCACAACAGATGGCACAGGCTGTCCCTCGTCCCCTGACGCCGCTCTGCAGGGACACCCTCTGTCAGCTCGCTCATCTTCCTCCAAAAGCAGAGCTGAGTCCACAGTGGCCTCCCAGGTGCCTTTCTGGAAACACTCCTGTTCAAGGAAAGCACAGCCACCGGGCCCCCAGGGCACCTTGTCCTCTTCACCGCACTTCCTGTCACCTTTAGTTCCCTTGTCTTCTGGAACTGCCTTGGCCAACGCTACTCTAACAGTGCCAGGCGCCTCAGCCCTGCAGACCCCTCCCGACATGCCTACTTTCCGCCCAAAATCCCTTCCTAAGCCTACTGAGTCCTTCCCATCGGAGGACGCTTCACGGCTGTGATTTCCCCAGCTCTCTTGGACGCGCCCTGGCAGCAAAGTGCTGAGACAGCAGCGTGACAAGTCACATCTTCTCTGCTGTGTCGTGAGCCGGGGGAACCTCCCTCCCCTCTTGGCTCTCTGCCCTCGACGTGCTCTCCTGGAGGACCGAGGACGCCCACCTGCACAGAGACAGAAAATCTCTGAGATGACCCACTGGCCGCGCCTCTGGGGCTGGATAACACCCCCAACCTGGTCAAGGCTTCTTACCTCAGCTTGGAGACCTCAGGACAGCAAAGCACGGAGGTTTCTGGAATGTGAAGACACGGCTGCTGGAGCCACCTCCGTCTTCTCCCCACACGTGCCAAGCCCAGCTCCCCTTCTGAACATTCTACTGGCCACCCAGTTTCCTGTCAAAAACAAACAGACACGGCCTCGTGCAGGTTCAAAGACTGAAAACAAATCCTCAATGCTATGAAAACATAACCCCTGTAGCAACCTTGTGTCTGAAACAAGCTCCTACTTAGCTACCAACCTGGAGGGCCGACAGCCCCAGCCCGAGCCCAGCCTGCATCCCCGACTCCAGCCCTCCCAACACCGAGCCAGATGCTGGGCTCAAAGCGGGTGGGATGCGTCCACCAGCCCCTCGTCGTCCTCCCTCGTGATCAAGCCCACTTACTCCCGCAATTCCATCGTCATCCCAGCCCCACGCGTCACCTTGTGCATAAGCCACAGGAAACTCAAGTGCACAACAGAGGGGAGGGGGAAACTCGAGCGGCTGCTCAGTCTTGTGCAGCCAGAGCAGCCACCAGTTCAAGGGGATCATCCTCGTAAGAGCTGCGCCCCTGCAGGAGGCGGATTAGGGACCAAGCATAAAGACAGCACACCCCACTCTGCTAGTGCTGCCGCAAGCACCGCCGCCTGGGCAGCTCCTGCCCCTCCCCGCGTCCACCTCCCACACCATGCGCACCAGGGCTGGTCAGTGTGACCCTAGAACCAAGCAGGACTGATCACACTCCTGCCCCGGCTGCCTTTCACTCACTGGGGGAAGCCAGCTGCCACCCTGGAGGACCCTCGGCCTCCTGCCAGCAGCCAGAGTGCACCATCTCGGAAGCAGCTCTTCCTGCCCTGGTCAAGCCTTCAGATGCCCCAGCCCCACGAGAACGCCAGCCTGAACGTCCGAGTCAGGCCAGCCCTAGCCACAGCCACAGCGAGGCAACCAATGTTTGCTGTCATAGTTTCTGGGCAGTTCATTAGGCAGCACTAACCATCCCACCACCTAACTTACAGGTGAGGGGATCCAGGGCCGCTGACAGCTAGCCGGCCTCATGAGAGGACAGCAGGCTTGCTGCCACCCAGCTCTGCCCACGGAGATCAGGGCGGTTTCCCTCTCAGTGACACCACCAGATATGTGGCAATGTATCATACAATGCACTTGGCAAACGTGTGCTCAATTCTCAGTCTCCTCTCGAAGGCACAGGCGCCACACCTGGACGCTGAGGAGACGTGCCCGCTGGGGGCCACCTGTTGTACCCGACGCCAGCACAAGCCTGAGCATGGCAGAGGCCTCAGAACCACCCACTGCTCACTTGGGAAAAGCTGCAGACGAGCACCCCCCCCCCCCCCCCCCCCGGGCAATGCAACGCCAGCCCCCTCACGTGGGTGGCAGGGGCATGGCGCAGACCCTCGGCAGCCTATCCATGCACCTTTGCCAGGCAGTGCCTTTCCCGGGTCAAGGGCTCATCGTCATTTCCAGGCGGCTGATTGGCTACCCCATGAGCTGATGACCCCAACAGCCAGCCCCCACTATGAGGATAAGGGTCCAGAAATGTTGTCAGAGCCCCCCCCCAACCCCCCCCAACGTACCTGTCCTGAAGCGAGTCCTGACGGGACAGCGCACACATCTGCAGATCTATTCCACTGAGCAGCTGCACAGCACCCAGCCGGCCCACAGCTTCCTGGGCCTCGGGATCTGAAAAGGAGAGAACAGTGCGCTGGACCAGGCGTCTTACCTTTAACATGGATCCCCCGAACAGGCTTCAGGGAACCCAACCTGGAGATCCCGAAACTAATGGGATTCCCCAGCGGGGTTTATCACCCTCAGAGTGCCAACACTCAGGGCCCTGCAGTCCTGCGGTGGGGCTGCCCCGTGCACTGAGGAGGTGCAACAGCCCTCGTGCCCACCTGTTTTCCATCTGCAGGCATTGCTGCGCAGCCCCCGGGGAGGAAGGGAGGCCGCACAAACTGCCCCTGGTTGAGAACCACTAATCTACAGCTTTTCGTCGATCCTCAAACGTAAATGTTTCAGGAAATAAAAGCAAAGTGTCTCACTATGTTTTGAATTTAAAATCAGTGAGTTCTCTGGCCGAGCAGATGGCTCTAGATCTGGTCTGGTGGTGATGGCGTCGAGCTCTCGGGCAGCCATAGTTACACCTGCTACCCCATGCCCCAGCATGCCGGTCTGGACGATCGTTTCCAGAACAACCGTCGGCCCACAGAGGGGCCCCGACTCATCTCAACAGGACAAACGCAGGAGCAAACCTCTGGCCTTCCTTCCAGTTCCCACACTGGCCAAACCACCTCCTGCTCCTGCTAGCGCCATGCCTGTCTCAAAAGCAATGATGCCAGAGAGGACACAGGCGGTTCACACCAGCTCCACGTTCTAGCCAGGGAGGCACGTCACATCTGCCCACAGACTTCTAAGAAGTCCCTTCCAGACAGACCTACAGGATTATCACTTCCTGGAAAGAGACCCTCCTGGTCAATCCCACTGTGTCAAAAGCTTGCCACATGCTTACATACACACATCTCAACCAATCCTCTGAACAAGCCTCATTTCATAGAGGAAGAAATGCAAACTCAGTGGTTCGTGTCTTGCTCGGGTTCCCAGCTGCAAGCCTGGACGAAGGTCTGACCGTAGGCTACTCGGGAACAAACGCCGCCTGGCGGCAGATCTAGGAAATGTCAGGCTACAAACCATTCTTAGTGCTCACTGTTCTGAGCACTGAGCGTAGAAATAGCCACTTGCTCTTTGCCCCGACGTCACAGGTGCAGCAGAGCAGCTGCGTCTGTGGTGCTGGCAGGTCCAGCATCTGCAGGGCAGTCACCCCTACCCTCCACAGGCAGCCAGGCTCCGCCTCACGTGATGGAGCTGGCCTTTGCCTCTCCTCTTACCTTCGTCTGGATCGTGAAGGTCATTCATTCCAGCCAACGTTCACCCCTGGAGCTGATGTTCCCAGGCTGTCACCTTTTTCCCGTAATAACAAATAACAAATACACTTGGCCCAGAATCAAGTAGTCAGGTGGTGCACAATAACATGTTGGTCAATGGACAACAGTGGTCGCAGACTGTTGGTACCGTACAGCCCAGGTGGGCAGCAGGC